CTTTGTCAATTTCTGACTTTGACTGCTCCTAGCTGCCATTGCTTCTCATTTGGGCTACAGTCGCACCATACATGTAAATCACTGCGATCCCATTTCAAACAGTTGTGGTTTCCGCAAAGAATTCTGGGAGTTTGTTAAGGGTACTGAAAGTGGTGTAACCAGCCCCGGATTTAGGGCAGTGTGGGTGGTTCCCTTGTACAGGGCAACCAAGGGGGCTCCAAATTTAGAAGATCTGTCATGCAGAAGATCCATTTCGGGGTGCCAATTTTTGGCTTCGCTCTGGGCGCCGTATTACCAAAGATTAGCAAAGTCCACCTCTGGGTGTAACAATCAATTCCTCTTCCTAGAAAACACTCAAAATTGTGTCTCTGGAAGGGGAATGGGGGTCTCCCATCATCTCACAGCACCTTTAACAAACTACAGATTCTGGCACCTACAGTTCTCAGAGTTCCCTGGGAAGAGGGATTGATTGTCAAACCACTCTGAGCAGTGTAGCTTTGTGAGGGGAATGGGGCCTAGTCCAAACACCTCTCAATGCCCTTAAGAAGCTACACTTCCCAGGATTCTTTGAAGGAAGACGTAGAATCATAGAATACAGTCATACCTTGGGTTGCGATCGCTGCGGGTTGCGCGTTTTCGGGTTATGGACGCGCCGAACCCGGAAGTACCAGAATGGGTTACTTCCAGGTTTTGATGCTCGCACACGCACAGAAACACTAAATTGCGCTTTGCGCATGTGCAGAAGAGCCGAATCGCATCACACGTGTGCGCAGACGCGGTGCTGCAGATTGCGAACATGCCTCCCTCAAGGATCACGTTCGCAACCCAAAGTTCCACTGTAGTAGAATTGTTTAAAGTGCTATGATACTGCTTTAAATGCATAGTGTGGACAGGGCCAATAAAATTTCAACATAGCAAGAGAGAAGTCAGATGAAAATAATATGAAGGTAGATGGACCAGTGATTTGACCTAATACAGTGGTACCTTGGGTTACATACGCTTCAGGTTACAGACTCCACCAACCCAGAAATAATACCTCGGGGTAAGAACTTTGCTTCAGGATAAGAACAGAAATTGTGCTCCAGCGGCGTGGCGGCAGCAGGAGGCCCCATTAGCTAAAGTGGTGCTTCAGGTTAAGAACAGTTTCAAGTTAAGAACAGACCTCCAGAACGAATTAAGTACTTAACCCGAGGTACCACTGTATAACAGTAGCTTCCTGTGTTCCCCAAGTACCTTGAGTAAGCAGGGTATGGATTTCTTCACAACTCATCCCTGTTGTTTTGTGTATAACTGGAGATGGTTTTTCGCGGTGAGCCACTGGATTTATGGCAGGTTAGCAATATAAAAGGCAATTATTAAAAATAGACTTTAGGAAGGTTTTAATTTAAATGAATATCACTCAAGTACAGCATGCCTTGAGGACCTCCCCTGCCTCTGGTAAGCAGTACCTGATGAGGTCTCTTTCACCTGAGCTATCTTTTCTTCACCCACTGATGCCTCCCCCCCCCATCAAGGTCAATATTCCCTAGATCCCAAGAGCATGAGGTATTATGTGCCCACAGAGCTTTCATTTCCTTTGAACAGTTAAGATCTTAGTCTGAATGAGCCAATACATAATGTTGACAGCTGTGTTCCTTCAAGCCATGATGCACATTCATGCTACAGTGACATAAAAGAAGTATATGAAACGGAAGAAATCCATAGGCATTTGCCAGTCTATACAGTGGTGGTGGGGGGAAGGCTTATTATCTCTTGACATTTGGGTGGGTGAAAAGAAAAAGGTTCCAGGGCATGGCCTGTGAGCAAGTGATATAGTAATCTTGCTTAATCAAAAGAGATTGGGCGTCTGATTAGTACCTGGGTGGGAGACCTCCTATATACTCTGTTTTGACTTCCAACACGGAGGAAAGGCAGGATAAAAATGGAATAAATAAATACAAATATGAAGTTGGATGAAATGGTCTGAGGCTTTTATATATGACGAGTGTGTATATTTTCCTTGCATACCTAATGGTCTGTCAGCACATATCTTGAGGGACACAATGTCTGGGAAGATGTAATGCAAGAATACATGTAAGGCAAAGTAATAATTGTTTCTTTTTCCAGGCAGAACTGAAGGCCTATTCTATTTGGCAGGCTGAACCGATTAACACACAGAGGCTATGGCAGTGAAACCACTTCTCCATGGTGCGACCCCATGCTGCAGAGGGGTGTGCGTGTGTGTTAAAAGTGAGACCATTTTCTGGCCTGGTGGTTCCTGTAAGTTAGCTACAAAACTGCTGTGTTACTTTCCTATCTCCTATAGATAATTTTCCGTAATGAAATGTTACTGTACTTGATGCAGTATCTGAAGCCTCAGGAAAACAGTTGAATTAATTCTTTTTTGGGGTCTAAATGCAAATGCAGTTTGAGAAGATAACTGTTGATAATTCACTGTCTGGAATTGGGCTGTTTTTCTCCCTTTCCCTTATCCAAAGGTATTCAGCTGCATTCTTCGGCTTCAGAAAGCTTATCTGGTAGCTGCTTCAAAGAAAACAGCCTTTCTGAGAATCTGAATGCCAGGCGATTTTATTCCTAATGAATGGACCTTTAAGGTTGACGTGTCTATTGCATACCTCCAATCTTAGATAGAGGTTGCTGTGTATTAAGCGCATAAGGTTTTCATGATGACAGCCAGATAGCCAGGAAATACAAGAAGCCAGTTGCTTGCATAAGGTCTGGTGTCTGGCATTTTGTGCCAAAGAATTCTTGAAATGAGCAACACAGCCATAAGCTCCATGTTCACATTGTATGCACACATCTATTACTACTATTGCTACTTTTTGTTGTTACACACTGACTGCATTTGGACATAATGAGTTAGCATTACAAGAATGAACCTGTTCTCACTCAGACTCACGTGCTTGCCCATTTCCCTTCTTTCTCCATCATAATCATAAGGAAGAGATCAGAAACTTCTGCGTCTGTTGTTAGATTAACCACCCTTTAGCGTGTTAGGGACACAGGTGGCGCTGTGGGTTAAACCACAGAGCCTAGGACTTGCTAATCAGAAGGTTGGCGGTTCAAATCCCTGCAACGGGATGAGCTCCTGTTGCTCAGTCCCAGCTCCTGCCAACCTAGCAGTTCGAAAGCATGTCAAAGTGCAAGTAGATAAATAGGTACCGCTCCGACAGGAAGGTAAACGGTGTTCCGTGTGCTGCTCTGGTTCGCCAGAAGTGGCTTAGTCATGTTGGCCACATGACCCGGAAGCTGTCTGCGGACAAACGCCGGCTTCCTCGGCCAATAAAGCGAGATGAGCGCCGCAACCCCAGAGTCGGCCACGACTGGACCTAATGGTCAGGGGTCCCTTTACCTTTAGCATGTTACTGAATCCCTAAACTGTGGTTAATCTTAGTTATGGTTAGTGAAAACAAGACAGCTTCAGGCTGACGTTGGTTTGTTTACACTAACATAGTTAAGAATAACCACTGCTTGCCCAGGTTCCAATCATATGGTAAGTTGCACTTGATAAAAAATGAAAACAAAAGCTGCCAGATTCCTCTTTGTGCCTGCGATGGAGAAGTAAGGAGGAGCACACAAGCCCAGTGGGAGGCTAGGCTCAGTTTCCTAACTGTAAACTATGGATTAGCATCACAACCGTTCTTGGCCATGTTGCCCCCCCCCCCGGCAAAACAGTCAGGATCCAGACAACTAAGGTATAGCTGGGCAATTAAAATCCAGCCTAGCATACACATGAAGCGTGTGTGAGTATTATTGGAGACACTCACTAGAAAACACACATACTAGGGAATAAAGCCCCACTGAACACCGTAGAAGTTGCTTCTGAGTAAATATAGCTCATGCTGCAAGTTCTTTCTTCCTCCACCATGGGTTATGTCCTACAGTTGAGGATGGACCACTTTCTCAGTCCCAACTGAGGCTTGGTCTTCCAATACTAATACAACCTTCATACGAGATACCCTACATAAGACCTATGCACAATCCTGTCACATGCACACATCATCCTCCAGAAAGTCTATGCACCAAGATGTGCTGGATTCCAGAAGGAACTGGAAACAGGCTGACTCAGGTCCCTTAGGATTTGTGTCCTACTCTACTTTTTGACTCATCCCTAGTCCCATGGGAACCAGCTAAACCCACTAACTGCAATAGATGCAGCTGGAGATGTGCTTCTTTGTGGGTAGGTGTACACTGCTTTCTAAGCAGCTTTTAAGTTAAATGGTTTTCAAAAGCCATTCATTGTACGAAACTGCTTTAGGTATACATGCCTCCTTATCGTTAATTGTGCTTTGTAGAGTGCTGAATACCCCGACTGTGCTTGCGGCATCCACCTTTCCTCATGCAACTTATTCTCTACGCTTTAATAGCACCAAACTATAAAGCTGCTCAATACATTGCTTACATTAGAGAAAACAGCCTCTTTAAGTGTTCTAAGCATTCGAATCCCGAGAAACAGAAACATTTCCTAGAAACAGTCTTGAAAAATGATTAAAGCACCATGGGATGCGTATTTTATTCAGTCTTTAAGAATGATGCTTCTTATTCTCCATATCATTAGCTCTGTATAACCATCACAACCACAAGCTTAAATCATATTAACAGTGCAATCCTGACCGTGTCTGCTCAGAAGTATGTCCTACTGAACTCAGTGGAACTGCCTCCCAAGCTTACTCTCGTTTAATGAGAGAGTAGACTCCATTGAGCAGAATAGGATTCACCTCTTCCAAGCATATACCGTATTTTTCGCTCTATAAGATGCACCAGACCATAAGACGCACCTAGTTTTTGGAATAGGAAAACAAGAAAAAAAAAATCTGAATCCCAGAAGCCAGGACAGCAAGAGGGATTGCTGCGCTGCGATCCTGCTGGCTGTCCTGGCTTCTGGCTTAGCTGTGCACAGCCTCTCCCGGGCAAAGGGAGCCTTCATCCCCTGCCCAGGAGAGGCTGCGGGCGGCTAAGGCTCCCCCAAGAGCCGTGCTCCCTTTAAAGAGCCGCATGGAGTGTGTGTGTGGCTCTTGGGGGCTTTTCCCCGAAGAGGGAGAAGGGCAACCCTTCTCCCTCTTCGGGGAAAAGCCCCCAAGAGCCACACACACACTCCATGTGGCTCTTTAAAGGGAGCACTGAGCAGAGTGGCTCTTTAAAGGGAGCACTGAGCAGGCGCATTCGCTCCATAAGACGCACACACATTCCCCCTTACTTTTTAGGAGGGGAAAAGTGCGTCTTATAGAGCGAAAAATACGGTACTTGTGTTGCAAACTGTGCATTAGCCAACTCGAAGCTGCAATTCTAAACACATTTACTCGAGAGTAAGCTCCACTTCTGAGTGATCATGCCTAAGATTTGTTGTCAGCCTTTAGCTCAGACCCAAGGACAAAATACAGCCTTCTCCATCAGGCCCTCTGGACTCACCCCAGGCCACACCCCTTTCCATAACACATCGCTCAATGGCCTTCTTCGGGGCTCTCCTTGAGTGCTTTTGCCTATAGGAATGTGTCCTTGAATTGCAATAATTCCTCTTCAGGCTTATTCGCCCTTACCTTTTGCTCTGCTCTTTCCAGGCACATGTCCATGCTTTACAGATCTGGGTCCAAGCATTTTATTTTTATTTTTGCCTTGGAGCTTTCCCCATGAAAACCCACTATTTAACAACATCCAGTATTGGTATGCAGCTCTTAAACTACGAGGGAATATGCCTCTTGGGCTGAGGAAAGGTTCCCCATCCCTGCTGTAGCCGATCAGTTGGTAGGTGCTAACATTTGTCAGAAAGCGCAAATTTTAATAGGTGGGGCTGAAATCTAAGAGATTGACTTTTTTCAAAGGCAATTTTATTGTAAGGGCAGTGAATGACTATGAAACATATTAAATATACCCTTTCTTTCTAATGATGAATGGCAACTTTTGCTTATTAACCGGTCAATTTTCTCATGTTAGCATGTGCATTTATTTAAACGCAAAGATTTAAGGAGTCAATTAACCAGCTGATGGTATATGATGAATTAGTGACAATTCTCCTTTGGTTGATTAATCAAATAGAATCACTTGACAGCTTTGCGAATTAGGTATCGATGCAGGTCCATTTGCTCTGCCCACACTATTGAGATAGACTCCAATTCAGAGATGCTCCCACGCCCCAAAGAATTGCGCAGGAGTGTTTCCACATGTGGAATCCATAAAAGGGGCAGCCACAAACCAGAGACAGACAGGTGTTCGCATCTGAATGCAGAGGTAAATATCCATCTACTGTTGAGATCAGAGGCTTTGCACATTTTGATCTTGCATTCCATTCATACAGCATGCTCTTGTTTTCTACATAGAGTGGGATGTAGAGTCAGGATGCACATACTGAAGAAAGAAGAAAGAATCAGCTGGATATCCACTGGATCCTAATCCTGCTCATCCTGGTGGATCTAGCCTTAGGATTGCATCTTAAGCCAGCAATACTAACCCCATTTATTTGAGAGTAACTCCACTAAATATTTCTGAGTAGACATGGCAAGGATTTCGCTGTAAGTCTGGAATGTCACCTTAAGGCTCACTGTTATTCTGGTAGAGCCCCCATCTCTCTTTTTACATGCACAAAAGGGAGGTTTGGAAACCTACCCTTTCCCCGTGTGCAGCAGCATACACATTTGCAATGGTCCCACCATATGAGTTGGGAGATTCCCAGGTTGGGATGAAAATGCCTGTTCTAGCCTAGAAATAATCATTCTATGGATCGCTGAGCATTTGTACCAAAAGAGAGCACATTTATTTATTTGTAAAATTCATGTGTTGCTTCCCCATAAAATCAGTTGCTGCAAACCAGCTGGGAAAACAACAAGGCTCTGCAACTTTTATACTTGCTAGCTCCTTTCAAACCACCACCTACAATTCAGCAATCTGCCTCAATTTTGCTCCAACACCTTTATTTGCAATTGTTGCTGATTCCTGGTTTTGACTCTCAAGTGCACCTGTGCAGTGGGATATATTCATGTGGTTTTGACTTTGCATCTTTAGGAGTTATTATACTCGCATTTGTGTGCCCTATTTGGATTTTTCATTGATGCCAGCCATGCTTTGCCTTTCTCTAGAGACCCTAGGAATGCTTTATGAGTTTTTCTGTGTGAGGTACAGCCCTGTCATCTTGGTGTTTTAAATCGACTATGAATATATTTTTTGTTGCATTTTTTTTTAAATGGCAGAAACGTAAACTCAATTCTCCAGGCTACATTTGCTGAAATGGTATGTATTTATATTTTAATGTAGCATCTCCAGACGATGATGCCAGGTGGACAGCAGTACTATTTTCATACACAGAGACTCAAATACAATGCTCCCGTAGCCATTCTTCATCTCCACAGAAGAGGCTGAGCACTGGGAAATTATCTTTGCACTGAAAAAGAGATCTGGGTGTTATGCAGATTTGAACCTGGTTGAATGGACAAAAATAACGAGGTGTGCCTCATGGCATTGCACGGCTGGGTTCTTTTGATAGGCTAAGGGAGTGTATGTGTGTGTGTCAAATGTTCCATCAATCCAGTCTCTGATTCAGCTTTAATGCAATCTCTGAATAGGCTGCACACTGATGGACTCCATAGTCAGCTTTACTATAAGATACGAACATAATCATTGAGGGCCTGGACATTTTGGCGCCTGAGGTGAACCACAAAATGGTACCCACCCCCCACGCAACCAGGGAAGGAGGGTTGAGTAGAGATTTACATTAGGAACAAGGGGGAAATAATATACATTGGGATCTGCTGGCCCTGTGGATGCTGCCGCCTGAGGTGGTTGCTTCACCTTGCCTCGTGGGTGGGCCGGCTCTGGCCTGCCCACAGGGCATACTTAAGCAAGAAAAAAATGTCGGGAAAAGATGGTGCAGAGCAGGGCCAGTGAGAGGTATAGTCTGGGCAGAATTCCAGGAGGCAAATGAAGAGGCTTAGGTCACATTCACACGACACATTTAAAGCACTATAATTCCACTTTAAATAGTCACGCCCCCTCCCGAAATCTGGCAGCTGTAGTTTGTTAAAGGTGTTGAGAGTTGTCAGTCCCCCAGAGGGTTGCCATATTTTCAAGTGCAAAAAAACAGGAAACATTTGCCGACTTCTACTTTTAACTATGGATTGCTATGACGACTCTCATTTTACATACCCATGAAAAGGAGAATGTGTCCTGGAAAAAGAGGACATGTGGCAACCCTACAGTGAGATTCCCAGAGTTCCCTGTGAAGAGGTATTGCCTGCTAAAACACTCTGAAAACTGTAGCTCTGGGAGGGAACTAGGGGTCTCCTAAGAACTCTCAGCGCCCTCAACAACTCTCAGAATTATCTGACGGAAGCCATGATTGTGGTATCATAGTGCTTTAAATGTATGGTGTGAATGTGGCTTTTTCAACCCTGGGCCTGAAGTTCCCCACCGCTGCCTCCAGGGTACTGGGTCTAGTTGAGATGTATGCAGTTCTGTAGGACTTGCTAGATATGAACAAACGGAAACTCAATTAGCCATCTCAAGGCACTGGGGAAAACCCTGAACTGTCTGGGTGAGTTCCAAATATCTTTCAGGACTAAAGAGGGCATCACAAGCCCATGTTGATGGCCTTTCAGCTGATTCCCTGGTGGCCCGCTGGAATGCGGAGTTAACCAGGGCTATCGACTGTCTGGCTCCGAAGCGCCCTCTCCGATTGCATGGAGCCCGGACAGCCCGTGGTTTTCTTCGGAGCTGAGGGCGATGAAACAATCGCTGAGACGGCTAGAGCGTCGGTGGCAGAAAACTCACTCCGAATCTGACCGGACACAGGTTAGAGCTCAACGTCTGAGCCTACCAAGTGGCGATAGCGACGGCGAAGAAGACTTTCTTCACCGCCTCTATTGCATCTGCAGAAAATAGTAGCAGGAGACTCTTTCAGGTGGTTCGCAATTTAACGGAACCACCTTTACCACCGGGGCATTGTAAAGACCCCAAGATCTCCTGCAACGATTTTGCAAAGTTTTTTGCAGATAAAATCACTCATATTCGGAAGGAGCTAGACACCACCGTGGGAGCAGGGCCAGGGCGGGAGAGTGCTAGAGCTCTGTCTGGTCAAGTTGCATGGAATCAATTTCAATCCGTTACCCCGAGGATGTGGACAGGCTGCTTGGACGCGTGAAAGCAACCACCTGTCTCCTTGATCCTTGCCCATCCTGGCTAATAAAAGCAAGCCGGGAAGGGCTGGGCGATGGGCTCTGCGGGGTGGTGAATGCTTCCCTCTGTGAGGGAACATTCCCAGATCCGCTGAAAGAGGCGGTCATTAAACCGCTTCTTAAAAACCATCTTTAGACCCGGCCAGTATGGCCAACTATCGCCCAGTCTCAAATCTTCCATTCTTGGGCAAGGTGATTGAGCGTGTGGTTGCTGAACAACTCCAGGCACGCCTGGAGGATGCGGACCATTTGGATCCCTTCCAATCGGGATTCAGGCCTCACCATGGGACTGAAACTGCCTTGGTCGCACTGGTTGATGATCTCCGGCGAGCTAGGGACAAAGGTGAGAGTTGTTTCCTGGTTCTGCTGGATCTCTCAGCGGCCTTTGATACAATCGACCATAACATCCTTCTGGACCGTCTAGAGGGGCTGGGAGCTGGGGGCACTGTTATACAGTGGTTTCGCTCCTTCCTCCTGGGCCGTGTTCAGAAAGTGGTGGTGGGGATGAGTATTCAGACCCCTGGGCCCTCACTTGTGGGGTGCCTCAGGGTTCCGTCCTCTCCCCCATGCTTTGTAACATCTATATGAAGCCGCTGGGAGAGATCATCAGGGGATTTGGACTGGGTGTCCATCAATATGCAGATGATACCCAGCTCTACCTCTCTTTCAAATCAGAACCAGTGAAGGCGGTGAAGGTCCTGTGTGAGTGCCTGGAGGCGGTTGGAGGATGGATGGCGGCTAATGGATTGAAGTTGAATCCTGACAAGACAGAAGTATTGTTTTTGGGAGACAGGGGGCGGGCTGGTGTGGAGGACTCCCTGGTCCTGAATAGGGTAACTGTGCCCCTGAAGGACCAGGTGCGCAGCCTGGGAGTCATTTTGGACTCACAGCTGTCCATGGAGGCACAGGTCAATTCTGTATCCAGGGCAGCTGTCTACCAACTCCACCTGGTACGCAGGCTGAGACCCTACCTGCCCGCGGACTGTCTCGCCAGAGTGGTGCATGCTCTGGTTATCTCCCGCTTGGACTACTGCAATGCGCTCTACGTGGGGCTACCTTTGAAGGTGACCCGGAAACTACAATTAATCCAGAATGCGGCAGCTAGACTGGTGACTGGGGTAGAGGGAACCAGAAATTTCACCTGAAAGTTGGTATGTCCAACCAGCTAAGGGATAACCCACACCCCTCATCTCCCAACTCATTGTTTATGTGGCATTTGTCATTGGGGAAGAGGTTTTATGATTTTGCAGATGGAGAACTGAGGTTGAGACATTTTGGCCTTAAAGCCAGGTCCCCCATTATAAATATCTCCCTGCACTCTGCTTTCTCTTCTGACGCAACTTTGCAAGAAACAGATGTGCCAAAATACGAAGAGCTGCCTGAGGATAAATATCAAGTTTAGAAGGTCTCTGTCATTCACCTGCTTGTGTCACTAAGCGAGCACTAAGCAGAAGGCAGTATGATAAAAGCCCTGGAATGCACCATTGAAATAGCAAATGCAAGGTCTGCACTAACGGTTTATAAGGCCAAGGATGCCTCTGATCCGCAGCTAACCTTCCATTCACGAGAAATGCAAAACAAAACAGAAAATGTGATAACATTTAAAAATAATTACAATGCCTAGGAGGATGAAATACATAATTACAGCACTTATATTTATATCTGAATGGATACAATCTTGTTCTTGGTGTATTTTTGCTTAGAACAGATGCAGCAAGCCCCCCCTTTTTTATTCTGGTCCCCCACATAAATTACCATATTTGCCTGAGAGCGACTGTAGGCACCATTCTCTTTCTGATTTTCATTCTTGCACACATTTAAACAATGAGATTGGAAGGAAGTACAGTTCTTATTTACACCTGCATTTTTTAATCCATGCAAAATCCTGTTTAGGCAGTGCTGGGCTGAAGGGTAAGGGAATATTACAGTATCTTCAAAGCCAATGTGCCTCAGGCCCAACGGAGTAGTGTGGCTGACACTTAGCCAGCGAGGATAAATCAATCAATTCATTAGCTGTATGAAGCCTCCAGTTTCTGAGGTAGTCTGTCCCTAAATACACTTGGTAAGAAACAACAAGGAGAGGGAACTATTGCCCTTATGCTTGTGGGCTTCCCATAGGCATCTGGTTGACCACTGTGGAAAAAGGATGCTGAACTAGATGGACTTTATGTCAGATCCATCAAAACTGCTGTTATGCTCAAAGCTGGATCTCACGCCACTCCGCTAGTGTTTGAAGGAAGGATTTTCTGTACAGTCTCAAAGTTTAGCTACTACCGTATCTGTGCTGGCAACCCAGACTGGAGAGGTAAGGAATGCTATCATGGATAGGACCTATGTATCCTCCATCCCACTAGAGGTCCAGCCCTACTTTCATGCAAGATGAGGTGGTCCCATGGTCATATTATGGGGGAAAGGGTGCGGGCCTTAATGCAATGCATTCTCCACTGCCCCATTACACTTTATCTCAGACCTTCAATTATATAAAGAGGGGGAAGTGAGAAACTATCATTCTGTTCCTCATGTCTGGCTGGCAGCTGGTATCTTAAATTTCCCAGTTACTATTGCTACTTGGATGTCATTGGTGCTGACTTTCTCCTGGTCTGGTAGCTGGAGAGAGCATAGAAACGACATCATCTTAGCCTGCATTGTTTTTCTTATTTAATTCTTTTTTAAATACAATTCAACATGTCATATCAAAATATGTGGTTCTATAGACCAACTCTGATGAAGCCCAGTTGGGCGAAACAAGGAATTATCCTGGAATCCTTGTCTTCTTTTCTGCATGTGCCATTCTTCTAAGTCTTTCGTCTGAAACCTGCATACAAAGAACGCTAGAATTCTTTAAAGCATCTTCATGTGGAACATTACAAGATTGATATAAGAATTCCACATCGTGGATATTGCTAGCATAAGAACTGAATGGAATGTATTTCCCGGTCAAACTGCTGGACTCTAATTTCTCATAATATGTTTTGTTTATATGATAAGTTGGTCTACAGAACCACATATTTTGATATGACATGTTGAATTGTATTTCAAAAAGAATTAAATAAGTTTTTTTAAAAAAAAAAATCATATAATTACATACAGCCTGTCACACTGTATGTGTTGTCCAGTTTTACATTTACGTGACAAAGGGTTTGATAGTGTTTTGGCCTACAGGCTAGGAACAGGCAAAGCTGTCAACTTTGGTTCCTCTCAGTTTCTCAGTTTTCCAATCTTAAGTTCAACTTTTCCATATTCTCACATCAGTTTGCCATTGTTGGTTTTTTTAAAGGTCTCCTGAAAGGTTGTCACTGTTCTCTGCATTTCCCATTGCTCCTTGACCATTGGCCATGATGGGTGAAGCTAAGGGGGGATGAGTCCAACAAAATTCGAAAGATGTCATTTTGGCTACGCTTCTTGTAGTCACCACGCCACACCAGTTATCCAGTTGACAGACATCAGGCTCTAATGCTCCAAAGAGAAATGCCAGATAAAACGATGGTAGGAATCTAACTGCTGCTTGTTTTGGTAGTGGGGAAGGAAATATTTTGCAACTTGATCTGAGAGAAAAGAGAGCAGCATAGGTATCAAGTGTAATTATGTTATTAAACTGTGAGCGTTCCTTCAGTTTTTCATAATCTCATTTAGTGTTTCTGATGTCAAGCTAAATTATTTTTAATTGCTTTTATGAAAAATATTAGATGCATTAATGGTTTTCTGAACTAGCTCTGAGAGTGCAATTTTGTGAGAGAATTTCTTTATCTTCTCCAAAGAGTTTTAGTTAATGTGCATGTATCGGTAATTGGAGTGACTAAGCTAGTAAGTAATCACAGTGTTATTATCATTAAGGAAAGCACACAATGTCACACCATGGTAATATTCCTCCTCCGCACCGTTTCTTGTTGGGCACGATGGTGTTAGCATTAAACATTCATGCTGGCTCTCTCCTATTGTTCAGCTTCAAATATGTTGAGAGCCATTCATAACTAAAGCAATGGGGTAGCTGCATGCTATTCACCTCCTGCACGATCATGTGCTGGGCAACACACACAAGTAAAAGCATGGGTGATGGTTAAATGATAAAGCTCATGCTACAAAATCAGAAACGGGAGCAAGCATGTACCCACACTGTCACAATGTAGAAATATGTGAATGATCTTGGGATCCATACACTGTCCCCAAAGCATAGCGGGGCATATGATTCACGCCTAGCCCAATTAAAGATCCTCTTGCAGATGCAGCTCACCTTGCCAACAAAAAATGTTAAAGCTGTTGCTATGCGATTCATTCCTAAGGATGTAAGAAGAACCCTGCTGGATCAGACCAGCTTCCTGTTCTCACAATGGCCAGCCAGAAACCAACCAGCAGGACCAGGACCTGAGCACAACAGCAGTTTCCGCTGCACTTGTGATTCAGGTGCAGCGTGCAGGAAAAGGCTGTCCTCAGGTGTGGGTGGAAGATTTTGTCCCAATGCCAGTGTTGAAGTAATAAGATTCAACAGCAAGTTGGCTTGGCTTTTGTATATGGAATTGGGAGGCCTCGGGCACCACGTTCTCTTGGTCTAACCCTGGCCTTCAGATGATCAGGTGCAAAATGGTGAAATACGTGGGAGAGGGAAAGAGGGAGAGGGAGGGAGAGGGAGAGGAAGAGAGAGAGAGATAGACTGGCTATTCACCAGGTGGAAAAGAAGTGCTCACAATGAAGGAGACATCAACCCTTTGCAGTATGAAAAAGAACCAAATAGCATTTTGTGGCTGTATAATATTTCTGCTTTGCTTTAGATGCTATAGGTTGTTCCTCCTCTCCACCTTTTATTTTGGCAGTGTTTCTTCTGAATCACGAACACCACATGCAGAGTATGTGCTCCCAAGAGGCTGCAAGCAAATGTTTCCAGGAAAATAAAAACCACCCTGAATTTATAAGTGTGACATTTCTAAATCCCAGTGAATTTCTAAACTGGGGGTGGGGAAGGAAGCAGCTAACAAAATGGAAACCTTTCCTGCTTTCTGTTCCCTTCAGTGCTTCCAGGAGGGATGGGCAGAATAAGGGGCATAGTTTACAACCCCTGAGCAGTACAGAGCAGCCATCACTGGGAAACCTTATCTTGACTGTTCTTGTAAGGCAGCAATTTCTGAGCTTGAAGCAGAGATAAGGAGAGAAAGACAGACTGATAGACATAGCAACTTCAGAGGAGACTGAATGATTGAGAAAATTCAGATTCAAGCAGAGGAATTAAAGCTAGTTAAATTAAATAACCAGGAGAGTTGATAGGCTATTTGGGACTAGAGCCCTGCTAGATTGGACCAAGGGCCTATCTAGTCCAAAATCCTGCTCCCATAGTGGCCAAGCAGATGTGTATTGGAAGCCTGCAAGCTGAACCCGAACGCATCAGCATTCTTCCCACTGGCAATTTCCAGAAACTAGTATAGCCTTATCCTCCACGAATTCATCTAATCCTCTTTTAAAATATATGGATTGATGGGAAAGCAGCAAGGGTCTGTCCTGGCGAAAAATATGAAGAGAAGTATTTGTGAAGTACTGGCTAGAAAGTATTCACTTTCCTACAGACAGCAGTGCAGTGCCTAGCATCTTGAATAAACCAGCTCTATTTGAAATGCCTTCATAATCAGCATTCAACGTGTGGCACTTCAATTATATAAGGATCAGTACAAATTTAATCCAGCTCTTGATAGCTTTATCTATTTACTTTACACAGCTGTTGCAAGGCTGAAGCCTCATCTTTCAACAGCTCCTGAACTGCAATGTAGGCGGATTGCATATTTTGGAAAGCACAGCCCGGCATGTGTGATTTCAACATTTGCATTCCTTTGTAGGAAAATTGTTTCGTCTAGATGAGCAGAAGTAGATGCTTTAACATCACAAGTGAAATATACTGATCCAGCTTTACATTAATAGCCAGCCTGAAGTCATCATTCACAATATGTCAGAGCCATAGCTTAAGAGGTAAACATGAATGAGAAACATGACTATGGAGGAACTGCTTCCCTGTAATCTTTGTAGAGATTGGGGTGTGTTCTTGTGAATCATGCATGTGAGAAAATCAGGTATATGGCAAAGCAGGGTATGAATTTTCATGCAACAGGGCCTTAAACAAGATCTATGCTTGGCAAAGCTCTGGAAATGGCTCCTGGAACTGCATCTCTCTTTCCAAAGACAGATAAGTTCATTTTCACATCAGTCTTCAACATGTTTTGTGGTACAGGAGTATCTTATTTTGTAAAAGAGACAATCCTGAAAAGGAAGTGGAAAAACTGTAGCACCTGCCTCCAGATGTTTACTGGTTGAAAAACATTACTTTCTTTTCTGTCACTCCCTTTCCTCTAAAGATATATTCATAGCAATGACGTTTGCTATGCAACCCAGTTTTTAGTTGCTGAAATGAAACACTTCATACCATGCCAACAATGCATGCTATCAAGGCCAGCCCAATACATTTTGGCACCTGAGGTGGACACCAAGATGGCGCTAGGGAAGAAGGGGACCGGAACAAAGGGGGTGGGTGAAGAAAGATGGATATTGGGATCCACTACCTTGGTGGATCCTATCTCATGAGGCAGTCACTCCACCTTGCCTCATGGGATGGCAAGACCCTGCATGCCGTGACAATCGCCTCTTGATTGGAATGACAGAATTTTAACAAAAAGACACCCTGTATTCTTTCTGTCAAAGCCCAAGCAGACATTTTAAAATATTAGAAATGGACAGGCTGTACCAGTTAATAGCTCCCATCATTTTGTAAATGCAAAATAGAGATTCTCTTGTATACATGAGACACCCCATTTCTTATCTTCCCCACATACTATTGCAATGAAGGTTCATCTCTTTCCACTGTACAAATTTATTCTGAGGTGGCTTGTTCTGCACTGGGTTCTGAATACAGTGGACACTCGGGTTGCAAACGTGATCCGTGCGGGAGGCACGTTCACAACCCACAGCACTGCGTGTGCGTACGCACGGGTTGTGATTTGGTGCAATTTAGTGTTTCTGCGCATGCACGAGCCCCGAAACCTGGAAGTAACCCGTTCCGGTACTTCCAGGTTTCGGCGTGTCCGTAACCCAAAAACGCACAACCTGAAGCGTCTGTAACCCGAGGTATGACTGTAACAGAATCATAGAATTGTAGGGTTGGAAGGTACCCTGGGTTCAGCTAGTCCAACCTGCTACAATGCAGGAATCCTGCCCATAGCAGCCCCTGGGTGGGCTTGAACCACCAGTCTTCTGGTTATCAGCCACGCACACTGACTCACGAGCTGGGCATGTTTGTAAAAGTGACCCAGTTTCAACAGTTAGGTTTATTAACAAATTTATAGTACAATCCTTGTAAGCCTCGTTGAGTTAAGTCGTCTTTGATTGAAGCCTGTGACCTCCTGACAAAAGAACAAATTATTATTTTTCCTCCAACGCTGTAGAGTGGAAATTGGGCAGGTTCACTGCTAAGAGAAAACTGAATCGAATATCTCCCCCCACCCCTAACTCTGAGTAAGCACGGGGTGAATCCACTATGAAACTAATGAATCTTAAGCTTCAGGGCCGCTCATTTTGGAGGGCCCCCAGAAGTGGCTTTACTTCATGTTGCTTTTTTAAAAAAATGGGTCTAGTAGACTCACATGACTCAAATTCATTAATTTTTTTGCTGTAGATATATTTCAACAATCCTTAGGTTTGAGAGTCAGTGGCACAGATGTTGTAAAGGAGATAACAGGAGTTACCCAGACCTCGTTGCTGGTTGTGAAGGGGCTCCCATAACAGTTCAAGCTTCAAGGCCTCCCAAATGTAGGTCCACCACTGAGTATGGATCCTAAAATACACTGGGCACAGTAAGGGCTGCTCAAACACATGTACAACTCATTTATTCATTTTTCAGGCATGTTTGGAGATTGTTAGCTAGCATGGTTTAGGTGACATAAGCATCTAATTCTGCAGGGGCAAGAAACCCAGAGCGCCACTCAACAGACGAAATGGCAGTTAACTGCAAACCAACTGGAGCATGCCCACAAACGTATCCTTTGGGCCTCTTATTGCCATCTCGTTCATTACCTGGTGTTTACATTATGCTCTGAGCTGCCTGATTTAAAGAGATTGGACTCAATGAGCCAATAATATGTTAAGTACAGCAGTTTCACTTGCGTTACAAGATCTCTGGAACCGGTGATTAATTGCACTGCTCAGTTTATACAGAAAGCCACAGCATAGCCACGCTTAAGCCAGGTCACCTTGGCAAACAAAATGTCTAGTCATGGGTTAGAATGAAAATGTAAATGTTCAAAACAGCCAGAGCAGCTAACGACAGTATCCATGTCCATACCTTGTAATAATAATTTTAAGGTCTTAGATGAGGCTACATTTTAATATTTTAATGTTTCAATATTTTAATGTTTCAATGTTTCAGTATTTTAATGTTGTATTTTAATTTTGTTTTTAAGTTGTAATCATGTATTATTGCTTGTAAGCCGCTCTGAGCCCGGCCTTGGCTGGGGAGGGCGGGGTATAAATAAAAATTATTATTATTATTTTTATTATTATTATTATTATTAATGTACCAAGCAAACATGTACATAAATATATAAACCACATGTCTGAAGCAGCACAGGAAGACAGTCCTGAAACCATTTTGACTCCTAAGCTGACCAAATGTTTCTCTGCAAGGAGGGAGGAGGTGAAAAAAACCTTCCTTGTTATAGGAATTTAGTAATCAACATTTCAAAGGAATGGGCAGACTACCAGGAAAGGCAATCAGATAAGGCATTATCAGATAACCTGGCAGACAGGAAAAACAACAACATTCAAATTTCTGTTGTAGACCACCTTTTCTGTGATGTAGGTATGATGTTTGTGGGGGTTGGTCTTGAGTTACACCCCTTCTGTGATGTATGTATGATGAATGGAGGGGTGGTCTTGAGCTCCAGGGCAGGGAATTTAAAATGTTTATATAAAGGCAGGCACACCTTTGTTCTGGGTCCTCCTCCATCCTCCTGCGTGTGAGGGGAGCACCCTGTTGCAATAACTTTAATAAAGATCAGGCTTACTAGCTGCTTTGCTTCTCAATATTCTCTGGTTGGCCTCTGTTATTTTTTCCTACCAATAGGGAACCCACTTAAGGACTCTATACAGGCTCTTGGATACCCCATAAGGGAAGAAGGGCAGATTTTGTTTACAACAACCTTTCTTCGCAACAGAACATTGGTCCATCGCATTGAGTAGAATAGTATGGGAACCAATGTGCTGTAGTGGTTAGAATGCTGGACCTGGGAGACCAGGGTTCAAATCCCCACTCAGCCATGAAGTGCACTGGGTGACCCTGGGCCAGTTAGTGTCTCAAAGCCTAAGCTACCTTTACAGAGGGCATAGGCAAACTTGGCCCTCCAGATGTTTTGAGACTACAATTCCCATCATCCCTGACCACTGGTCCTGTTAGCTAGGGATGATGGGAGGTGTAGTCCCAAAACATCTGGAGGGCCGAGTTTGCCTATGCCTGCTTTACAGGGTGGTTGTGAGGATAAAATGGAGAGGGAGAGAACTATGGAGGAAAGGAGAGATACAAATGTAATGATAGATAGTTCCTTGGCCCAGGCATCCCATCATGATGAACAACACAGTGAACCACTTTCCCCAGTCAGGCTGGATGTATTTATATACTGAAAGCAGGATAAAGCTTTAGCTTGGCAGCCCTATCTTCAAATAACTTTGACAGCTTGACCTGAAGTACTATCAGCGGGCCCGTTTGACTATTGACTTGACACAGGATATCAGATCTACATGGATTTACAGGAGGCGGCTCTGCGACAGGTTAGAGAGGTTAGCGAAACCCACAAGAAAGTGCAGTAGCACAGAATACTGTAATGGTGTTACTATGGTTATGCCTGGCTAATTAAGAACAGCGAACCATTACCTGCTGGCACCCATGTACAATTATGTACACCATGTACAATTTGTGTGAATAGTCTATACACAAAAATACTTGGGGAGCGGAGAGAATTCTTCAGGTCAACTTGGCCTTTTGAATTCTGCTTCATTTGTGGTTGATTGGAGCCGGGTTAAACCTCAGAAGCTGTTTTGTGAGGTGGTGGGAGAAGAATTCCATGTGCAGAGTGCACTTCCTGCAATGTTAAGCAGCCATAGCTCCCCCAACAAACCAGCATTTAGTGGTACCCTTAAGAGTGGGTTATATGGTCAAAGTCCA